AGTAGCACCTTTATAGGGGAAAAACTCGATGATTATACATACAGCGCGTATATTTTTCTCGCTCGCGAATTATACGTACCCATACATATATGAAATAACAAGTTAAATTGTTATTTCACGCGCAACTGCAACCGTGTAACACTCGTTACATGTACACCCACCCTCTGCGTTTATACGCGTTGACAGCTGTTAATTGACAGTGGGTATAATTATATATATTGAGTATACGTAACGCGTGTCCCTTGGCTCTGAGAGATATACACGTTTTGAAACGCATCAGCGCCAATTGATCCGATTACCGAGTGCGCCTGTATATACAGTACACACGTATATGGATTCATACATATTCATGAGTGGGTATTATTTTTCAGGCGCACTGTGTGACTCTGGTTCATGTATAACGCACTTGTCTTCCCCTGTCCTTTGTTTTACAGCGAATGATGCTCTGTTTTGGTGTGTAACAATACGCGCAACAAGGGCTCTGACCCCTTGCTCTTCCTCCCTGCTATCAGGTACCTGCTATATGTACGGACGTCACGCGGAACATTGCACCTGTGTACATGTGTCGAGCGAGGGAAAATTAAACTTCGTTTTTGCACGCTGCTTGTCCTGAACGTACTTGTTATTATTAAATGCATTGCGAGAATTTTCCGCTATTTTTTTTTTGCTTCTTTAATCGCGCTCGTTTCAATCCCAAACTCTATATTTTTAGTAATATTAATTCAACTCACTCTGGTGATGGGTGAGACTTTTGAGCTGATTCATGTAAATAAACTTTGTAATGGATAGTGACGGAGATGTCGAGGACTTTTTGTAATATTCGAGCTTGAATTTTTATTTTTAATAATCCAAAAGAAAAAAAGAAAGTTTTACAAGTACAGTAGTGAGTTGGTAGATCGATGGGTATAAATGCCCTGTAATCACGTGGTGGTGGTATCAACACGTTTATCCGTCCACTTACATGCAGCTGAGAGATACTCATGTACATATATATACTCGCCCACGTGCACCTCGAGGTTTCGCAAGTAGACACGATCCCACCCGCCAGATACGGACATGCGTCTCTGCTTCTGCGACTTTAATTGCTGCCGCGGCCGATGTTATTGCCATTTAATCGAGCGGCAATTCGCGTCTAATGTGTCTCTGCGTCGATGATGGAAACTATTACGCGCTATAGGTGCTAAATGAACGTGTGCGTTACAGACACGCGCGCGAGAGGTGATAATGAGCCGTTTCGCCAGCCTCGACCGTACCGTTGATGATTAATTTCCGCTTTTTCGATGACCCAACAAGCGCTCAACTTTTTTTGTTATTGGTTTTTCACTCTTCGTTTAACCGATAAGAAATTAAGGTACCTATCATTTTATTTTGTACCACTTTTAGTTTGATATCAGCCAAAATTTGGAAGCTCGAAAAATTTATATTTTTTAATTTAAATTACCGATCTTTGGATATCTCCCTTCATGGAAAGAGATGAATGGTAAACAATATGAGCTTTAATGAAAGCACGTAACCACGATTCATCACATTATACGTGGTACCAAAAGAAAAATTTTATATTCCACATGTCCATAAAATGGCCATTTCTCATATGGATTCTTATTTCAATCCTTATGTCATACCTCGAATCATACTCAAAGATATCGCGCGGCGCTTTCATGATTCACTGCATAAATAGCCAAAGATATAGTAAATCCATGTTTTTGTTCGATCGGCAATATATCACCAGTTAGGTGTGCGAGATAGCACGTTCTTATCTGAAAAAAAAAAAAAAAAATGCCGGCACCGTGACTAAGAATTATCAATTTCCTCAATCTTGTCGATGAGTAATAATAATAAAGCACGATAATCCGAAAGGAATAATATTTTTGAAAACCAAAGATCTACAACCCATACGAACTGCACACTATATTATAACCATGCGATAAATCGTACTGTACGACACGCGTGTTTTTAACGTCGTTAAAAGAAAAATCCAAGGTCTTAACTCGCTGTGGCCTCAAACGCGAAAGGAAAACACGTTAAATCGGCGATTAACCCGCTTTCGATGCATCGACGCAAAGAACCGGGGGAAGAAATCGGCGACGCAAAATTAAATTTTCAGTGGCTCCTGGCGCGCGTACTAAAATATACACCTGTTGGCCGGCTCTCTTTTACCCACTTTGTGCATAAACGAAATGTGTGCAAGCTCGAAGAAGAGAGAAAATTTTACGATCGGTAGTAAAGGAAAAAAAATGAGGGCCAAGATCGGTATTGATACGAGCAGGCATCGCTCGCCAGCTGAGCCTCTTCCGTTATTTAGCGCCACTCGCTTCAAGAGACGAGGTACTCATTCGGATGCCATATAATAAATATATCCTCGTACAATCTGTTGTCGTTGCTTGCCAGAGAAGGAGAGTACACGTGTATATATATATTTGCGACACCGTCGCTCATTATTTATTCAACGACGCGAGCCCGTACCGTTGCCATTTCTCTTTCGTATACGCGGATGCTTAAACACGCGTGTATATACTCATATGAGCACGAGATCATATACATGTATAGGAAAGAAAGGGGAAAAAATAAAAACACGCGACTAGAGAGAGTTTTCCCTAGGACTGCCTAGGTCGGGATTTCATTGGCTCCTTTGGTAATTGAGCTGTCATCCATATACATGTAAATAGGCACCTTGATAATATAAACGCGTGGGTGTATAAAAGTATAACATATAGGCGAAAAAATGGCACTCGATCGATTGTAATCTAATCGACGAGAAGGAGCCCCCCCCGTACGGCCAAAGTTTCTCCGATTTCAGCCGATCTGCACGCGAACGGGAAACGACACGGGGGAGTGGACGCGATTACCGATGGAAATTATCATCGTGGAAAAAGTGTGTTCACTTGACGCGTGACACACTAAAGTCCCCTGCGATGAAAAAAAAAAAAAAAAAAAAAAAAAAAGAAAAGGAGATCCCGTGAAAGTAGACGCGAGCAAGAGAGCCAACCGGTTAACCAACATTCCGCGTTTCCATACACCAAACGCGAAGCGATAAGACGAGTCGTCCCCTCTTTAGCGTGTGCATATAAATATTAATTAAATGATCAATGCCGGCCATGCCCGAAATCTATAGACCCATGAATCGTTTGTAGTTACAGATTTCATCCTTGAAGAAAAATGGCACTACTTAGTAATAATAATGGGAGGAGAGTCCGCGCGTGCCACACGGAGCGCCTAGAAACTTACGTGATTTACAGGCACCCGAGATTTTGACTCGCGGATGCTTTCACGACATCTCTATGGGTCGTGTCCAACATTTTCGGTGATTAACCGAAAGGGACGTCAATCCGAGCTTGTTGATCATGCCCCCCATCGATGAAAGTGGGCGTGCAAAAAGTAATACATAATACAGACAATGGCCCTGCGGTGTGTGTATATATATATATCTCTCTCTCTCTCTTTGCTTACCCGAGCATTCCTGCACACCAGAGGGCCCGGAACGAGAACCAGATCATCCCGGCCATCCATCTTTCCCAGCTTTGGCCCGTGCACGAAAATAAGCCGTCGATGTGGGCTTTGCTATGCGCCGCCGACTATTTCGGGACGGGCCGTCTCGCAGTCGAGCGCTTGTAAATCAACTTGGCCGAAAGAGCGTATATATATATGTGCGTGGCTTCGATTGCGCGTATAGTGATGCTACTTTCCACCGTATCATCACCCGGTGACCAGGACCTTGAGGCTGCCACTTCTCATGTGTATACATTTTCGGCTTCGGCTCGGGGAATCCCCTGAATTTTCTAGAGCGTGAAAGCCTTTTTCTCGATGATATTTGTGCCTTTTACACACATCAGAGGACAGTGCCTATATGTAGCACCCCCGACGAGGATGAAGCTCGGGATGAAAGGGGGTGAAAAAAGTCAGAGCCCGACGCGAATCGTTATCCTTTCGAAAAAAAAAAAAAAAAAAAAAAACTGCTCCTCGCTTGGAAGGAATAAATTCCCGAGCGCTAACGAGTATGTGCGCAGAGTAAACGATAGGAAAGTATGAAGAAGAAGAGGAGAGGAGAAGGAAAAAGGGAATGAGTTTAATTGAAGCGCGTCTCTACCCGTCGCGCAAACAGCCAAAAAGGTAAACGAACCTGCAGCCGTATAGCACGTGGTGGCTCCGATGTTTAAGCGAGAGATAGGGTACCTAGATGTGCCAAAGCGCCATTCGCTCGTATACTTACACATTTTTTTACTTTATATTTAGCATCGCCGGTCATTAATTGCTATTCAATTTACTTGGGAAGTTGCCCACTGTGTACTGCTGTTGTGTCGCTCAAAAGCGGGGGGGGGAGGGTGACAAGGAGTTACTTATTAATTAGTCGGACCCTTCCCCCTCCCCTTACTTTGAGACTCGACCGATTGTATTGTCTGTATAACTTTCTCGAGAGTCATGGTACTGTGCAGCCAATCGTGTTTGTTTTTGCTGATCACGTAGTCCCCGGCGTTAGGAGAATTTTGATGCCGGTACGTTGTGATTGCGCAATGATGAGTGTTGTACATTGTGATCTTAAGAGAGAATCGTTGATTATCATAATATCGTGTTGTATGTAGTAAGAAAGAGAGTATTATGTTTACTGCGCTTGACATAAATGCATGCAAAATTCATTGGTCTCGCGTGGATGTGCGGTATAGAAACAAGTTGTACGGGCAATTACCCACGAATCGAGAAATCGAATGAATGTGGATTAATGGGTTGCTGTAAATGCGCACCATACGGATGAGAGAAATTAACCATCCGTCGGGCGAGCGATACATTTCTTCTTCTTTCCTACCCGTGCACTCGTTTATCCCGAAACATCATACGTATTTGTACAAGATGCAAGGGGGAAAAAAAAAAAAGAAAGCGCGTGCACGCGTAGGCGCTCGTGCGAACTTAACCGAGAGCCGTTCATTTTTTCGAGCTGTATATTATTCGCGCTACCAACTAAAAGAAACAATTTCAACAAATCGCATTTGATTTTTGATTTCAGATAGCAAGCAGGAGCGCCCGCGACAAGGGGCCGGTCACCGGTTGCCGCTGCTCTTGGAACCACCCAACAAAAACAAAAAAAAAAAAAAAAAAAAAAAAAACAAAAAAAAAAAATAGGGGAAAGAGAGAGAGATGGCGGACGTGGCTACCAAGACCAAATCCATGAGCGTCGTAAGTAATAACAGTAACAGTGTGAACGGGAAAACTAAAATGAGCGATGTCGTGGTGTGCGGTGTGCAATCTAACAACGGCCTGATCGACCTGGTCGGCCCTAACAACTGCCTGTCCAACAACGCGAGTAACAACAAGCTAATAACCCTCCGCTCGCCCAACACCAAAAACAATGACGACAACGAGGAGGAGGAGGAGGAGGAGGACGATCTCATCCTGGCGAACAACGCTCGCAACGAGCTCGACTCCCAGGAGGACAAGAGCCTGCAGGAGCTCATAGAGAGCGAGCTCGCCCTGAGGATAAGCGCCAACAACGGGGCCGACGACACGAGCGAGGACGAGGCCAGCGAGATCATGAACACCCAGCCCGAGATCACCAAAACCATCATCCTCGAGCCGAGGCAGGATCCCGAGGTCGACGTCAACCACGAGTTCATCGTCAACGAGATGGACCACTACAGCCTCATCGGCGAGCCCATGGCCTACGAGTACTCGAACGGCCACGTTGGCCCCAACCCTATTCCCGAGGTCGTGGTCGACGAGGCCGAGGAGGAGGAGGAGGAGTTGGGCGACGGGCAGACCGAGACCACGGAGACCGAGGTGACGACGACCACGACCTCCGGGCCGTCCCTGCCATCGGCGTACGAAGCCACGGAGCTGGACCACGACGAGGTCGACAGGCAGGAGCAGCCGGTGGCCAAGGGGGTGAGCAACGGGTCCGCCGTCACGGCTGAAAAGTGCCTCGAGGAGGACGCGCGGGACGATCCGGACGACGGTGCGACCGCGACGTTTGTCGAGCACGAGGTCGGCGCTGGGGAGGAGGAGTGCTTGTCCGTGAAGGAGGCCTCGGGGGTGGACGAGAAGGCGTGCTCGTTTTACACGACGGAGGGGCTGATGGTGGACAACGACGAGGGTGTGGGCGGGGACGAGCCGACGGTCGGGGTGACCCACTACCAGCTCAAGGCGGGGGACGACGGGGGGGACAGGGTGTGGATAACCGTCGAGGAGGCGGTCAAGGAGCCGGGGGTGGGCGGCCAGGGGGACGAGAGCTTGCAAGAGAGGACGAACGAGGGTAGCGAGATGTTTTACAGCCAGGAGAGCCGCTTTGAGAATTACTTGGATAGGAGCAGCATCAGACTCGAGGGGGATGGGAAGGAGTTGGCACCGCTCGCTACCCCGGATGAGATCAGCGACATTTCCAATGCCAACGATGACGTGAGTATTTGGGGCTCCTTTTTTTCCCTCTTTTTTTTTTTTCTTTTTCTTTTTTTTTGGTATCACGAGCCGTTGACCAACGCCGGCGAGAAAAGAACGTAAGCAGTGTGTGTTTCTTTGTTTCGTGTTTTCGGTGTTGTTTGACATTAATCCTTTGCTGTGTTTTTTTTTTTTTTTTTCCATAACCCGTGCGTACTTTCATTAACAAATTCAACTTGCAATGAAATCAACTGATGTATAAAGTACATATTTGTGCTTTTGTCGAATTTCAACCTATATCTATGATTTGATTAATCGCTCACACATGATGTCGCACGCGTCATACACAAGATTACACGGGCGTAGATTGCTACATAAATACGTGCACATACTCTCGATGATCGTCTTGATTGTACAGCTGTTAAGAGTAACGATAAATAAAGTTAAAAAAAAAAAAAAAAGTCACACTAAAATCGAGATGAAAAGCATACCTGTAAGCGCCAACTCTCATTATCCAATGCACCAAAGAAAAAATACGTATATTCATAATGCAAGACAAAATTCGAAGGGGGAAAAATATAGCGCCAGCAACAGAAGCACGAGCGGAAACAATAGACCCCCTTATGGGATATACCACTTATATATTGTTATCCATTATTCGCCGCGCTTGCGGAGCGATATATTTATACATGCCTAGACCCATGAAGCACGCATCGCGCAACTTGCGTATACATTTATATTATGTACGTTTCGACGTATGTATATAATTCGCACGAATATACATAAGTATATGAGCGAAAAGGGGAACTCTCTCTTCCATCTTTTTCGCGAGTGCCTATGGTAGCCGACGCGATCGAGGTCACGAGGCGAATGAGCGCCTTCCTCCTCCTCCTCCTCGTCTTCTCCTTTGCCTCTACGTAACGCGCTTCCATTCACGTGCTTCGACGTATACCTACGTTGTGCTGTAAAAGACCGTTTGGGTGCGCGTACGCGCTCACGCGTGGCTCACTTTTCTTCTGATGGTGCACATGTATAATATATTTTTCGTCGTGGACGACGGATGTAACGTATGAAGTGAGCGTTTGGGCCTCAAGGCTACACACGAGCGCATGTGTGTGCGTGTTTTAATGGTCAGGGACCGACGCACGGAAAGTCGGTGCGGTTTGACGGATCTCTTATACCATATTATATACCTGCATGGGGCACGGACGCAATATATATATGGATACGCGATCATGACAGACGCCTCCGCCACCGTGTGCTTTGATTGTAGGTATACACAGTTCTCTGTGCGACGAAGAAGAGCCGACGAGCCTTCTCTTTCCTATTGTCTTTTTTTTTTTGGGCGTGTAATTAAAAGATCGTTTGGTCGTTCGTGCGATCGGCAACAACGCAACGTACAATTATATTTCCTACGGGTTCGACTTTGATTTATCGTTGCTTCGGATATCCATGTATATCTTTCTGATTCAAATAAAGACCTTATAATTAATTGTCACTTTGGTACGTGTGGCCGGAAAAACTACAAAGAGAAAAATAAAAATTCCCGGTGAATTCAAATTTGTGCACGGATCGGTAATTGACCGTCATCCTCCGTAAACAGAGAGGCCCTTCCCTCCACCGATCGATACACTCTCGTATCCTGTGGTGCACTGTATGCGTTTCTCTTCCAACCAATCTTGGGACAGAGTCTCGCGGAATCGGCCTACCTCGCGGTCCCTCGGGTCGCACCGCTCTATGGACCTCTCCGATCAAGATGATTCTTTTCAAACGATCGTTACCGATTTCCGATTGTTATTCGCTGGCAATCAATTTCATCTGCCAGATCTTTATCGATTTTGGTGAGAGGCCCAACAACCGATGTAATAATGTTTTCAACTCGTTGCATTCAACCTCGAATCGTAACTTTGATTTTGAAAAAAAAAAAAAAAAAAAGCCGCGAGTTTGGCCGATCTTTACCGATGGGGTGCAGAAGCAGCGAAGCCGGCATAAGAGGCACCGCTTTTCTGCAAACCTCCCCTCCCGAGGGACACCCGACACGGCCTTTTGGGCGACCGCAAGCGAAGAAAAGCTAACTCGACGATGACAGCCGGTGTGTGTGTATCCCGTGTCGTCTCTAAAGAGCGAGACACTGCCCAACTGAGGGGAAAGAAAAGGAAAAAGAAAAGAAAACGCAGAGAAGCAGACGAAGAAAAAAAGAATGGGATGCGGGGAGAGGGGCACCCTCGAGCGCCAGTTACGCGGGTGATGTCTGTAATATACGTATACCTGCAACACCTCTCTTCTTACGGCCCACCATAATACTTAATGCACACCCACACATAGGCGCGCTCTTAGAGAGAGTAGGGACCGTATGGTATATATACATATACATGTATACAGAATCAGGCAAGAAGAGGAGAGAGAGAGAGAGAGAGAGAAGAGGCGAACGGGTTTCTCTCGAGGTAGCTCCTCCTCGGGAGGAGAGTCTCCTGCGGAGAGCCGCAGCCGGAGCACCATACGCCCGCGTATATACACGTGTATATGTATATACTGTATATTATACCTTGTGTGTGGCGGTGGCGCGGTTATGTTCCCGTTTCGGTGCTGAACAACAACAGCAGCATCGAAGGAGAGGAGCAATAAGGGAACACCTTAACCGAGGTATATATACTTGCGTACTCCCTCCTTCCGTTGGCTGATGCCCCTCGTTTAATCGCCTCAAGGCCGATACGGTAGTAGTCTACCATCCGGGGCCCCAGTTGCGCGCTCCTCCGCGCTCGCCGGTCCTTCTCTCCTCCTCTTCCTCCAACTCCTCCGCAGCCTCGTCTTTTTACTTTTTTTTCTTTTCGGGTTTTTTGTCTTTTTTTCTTTTCTTTTTTCCCCCCTCCACCCTGTTCGCTCTTCTTTTCCTTTTCTTCAATTTTTACATTGTTTCGACGCAAACGCGTGTCAAGTACAAGTATAATACGTACGTGCGCGAGTGACTCCTCCTCTCGTGTATTGTATATTTATAATTACGTATACACGCGTGTGTATGTTATAATATATCCACAGTGGAACCGGAAGTGCGAGTTTGACATTAGATTTGACGATTGATTTTGCGCGCATAGAATATGTGTAAATACAATGTGAAAATCATATAATGTTGAGATGTTGTTATCGGTATACCCAATACCGATTTTTGTTGCTTTTGTCGGAGCGTGTATAATTTATCATCCGTCCATTTATCCATGATAGAATTAGATAGACAAAAATATGTGCAAAAAGGAAAATAGAATAGGAAGCAAAAACGGGACCACACACGATACATCACTCAATATAAGGCAGATACAGTTTTTTTTCTTCTCGATTTCATATGGTGTATAGGTTGATCGGTACACCATATATACATATATATACATCATAACCGAAGCGAGCAGCGTTTCAGCAGGATCGTGAGGTAGGTATACATATGTTACGTATACGATATTAGAAGTTGGGGGTGTATGAGTGTGCGGGAGAGCAGAGTATAGGTATATACGTGTGCGTAGATAGCGCGTCCGTGGGGACTCCGAGGGGACCCCGAGATCGGCAACGGCTGGCCTGCCCTGCTGCACTCGAAAGCAAAGAAGAGAACCAAAAGCTCGCTCCATGTGTGTATAGCTGATGTATACGTGTGTGTGTGTGTGTGTCTTTTCCTCCTCCACCAGTTCCTCCTCCTTCTCCTTCTTCTTCTCCTCGTCGGCTGTTGTTGGTGGTGGTGCTGCCGGGGTCCGTTGAACTCGTTTACACGTTGAACCTTTTCCTCCTCCTTTTCATTCTCCTGCCCGCCACCGTCCCTGCTCCCATATGCCCGCACGTATGGCTATATACACGTACAATTCTCTCTCTCTTTCTCTCTCTTTCTCTCCTTGGTCGAGATATGTGCCATGTACATATATATACCTACGATGCCTATGTACGAGTATAGGTATGGCACACATGTGTGCCTCCTCCCTAGATAATGAAATAATACGTTCAGTGGCTGTTGCGCGCCGAGGCTTTTCGGTGATCAAACATCAACGGCCCGTTTCACGTGTTTTATCTCTGTTTCGTCGGATGGGTGATAATGGGAGGGAGGGGTGCGTTTGGGATCTCCCCTCCCCAAAAAAAAAAAAAAAAAAACAATACTATAAGCACCGTGGGAGAGCCCCAAGGATTTGTTTGCACGGGCCAGGAATTTTTTTTATCCGTGCAATCGTATATATTATGTCGTAAAAAAAAAAAAAAAAAAAAAAACAATTTCACGTGATGCGTACAGCTGAAGGAAAACGAGGTACGTACAGTACTAACGCCCGAGCGGTCAAAACGGAGTATAGCCGGGATGCTTCTTTTTTGAAAAAATTTTTTAATCCTTTCGCGTGCACCTCTGTTGCGCTTTGTCGAACAAGAAAGAAAGAAAAAAAAAAGAACCAACGAGATCAAACAGTAAACTTTCGAGAGCCGACGTTTTACTACATTTCAGCGTTCGAGCCAACTTGTATATAAACGCTCGAGATGAAGCAACGAAATGACATTTTTGTGTGTCGTCGCCCCTATATAGGGTTTGTTTGATTATTGTGCCGATTTTGCCTACCACAATGCGCGTCACGAGCAATCATTACCGATCATCTTTTAATCACATTTCAAATTATTCCCGTTCGCAGTACGACCCTTAGACTTCCTCAATTTGTCCTCCTCCACCCGATGTAGGTACATACCCTTCCTTCCTTCCTGCATCAACGCGATCCCCCCAATCCTATCGCCAGTGTCGAGCCAACCCTCATCCTTTTTCATCAATTAAACGCTCGTCCGCCATCTATCAGTATCCATATTACTATAGGTACACCCTAAAAAAGTAAGAAGATCACCAGCTGATGTATATGTATACGGTGTGGGCACACGCCGCGTCTACGTATGCTTATATGCTTTCGTCGACCTCGTTGCCCAATGGCGAATATTGAGCGCAGTCGCCTCTTCTTTCTTCATTTTTTTTTTTTTTTTTTTCATTTTTTTTTTCGTATTTCTCTCCCATGCACCCGTATCGAATGTGCGTACATTTACCTATATGATGTGTACGAACGAGTCTCCATGCGTTATATTGATACACAGATGGTACAGCTTATGATCCACATAATAAGTAATTATTTAGGTATATTATGAATGTATGGTGTGCCGAGAGGGATAAAATGAACCGAGGAACCGTAAACCGGAATACCTATATACTTGTGGGTGGTTCAGTACCAATAAGAGTATAACGTATACTTACGTACTGCAAGGTGTGTTTCCGAACAGAGTCGTTACGACGATCGAGATGACCTCCCCACCCCCTACCCCAATTTTTTTTTTCTTCTTCTTCTGGTGTTGATTAAGAGGACTTTCGTGGCTTTCCAAAAATTTCGTTTCGAGTCTTTCACGCACTCCCCGAGATTATATACATTATAGTATGCATACCTACACCACCGCTATACGCGCACCTGCATTATGTCGTAAGCTATATGTAGGTACGCGTTTGTGTGTATCCCCGTGTTGAATAACGCGGGCTCGATACATACGTACAGCTTCATTAGGGAGGCCTCGTACATTATCAGGTAACGGGGGGGGGGGGGTTTCGTCAATTACGCGGCCCTCCACTTCCAGCTGCACTGGTTCCTCCTCCTTCCCATCCTTTGATCTATACTCGAAGATTCCGTCCATCGAAATTTCTCACGCGTCCGTATTCGATCGTCCAACACATTCGATAAATGAGAGAGAGAGAGAGAGGAGGAGGAGATCCAATAAACACACAAACGCGCTCTAAAAACCATACGAAACTTGCGCAATTCCGGGGTCTCCTCCGCGTGCACGTGCACACCCACGCAATATCATCTCATCATCGGGGTCAAGTGCGCGCTCGCGTGCGGGGAAAAGAGGCTCTCTGGTGGAAAAATCGCGGGGCGTCTAGTCGCCTACTCTCGAGCCGAGCCCCCTCCACGGAGCGACGAGAGTGTCACTTTGATCGAAGGCACTTGAGGGACTACTATTTTTTTTTTTTTTTTTTTTTTTTGCAAACAATTGTAACGGGCTTACGGGCGAAACGTTGAGTGGGCCCCCATCGCGCTGTTGCTGGTTGGGATAGTCCGACGAGCCCTCAATTAATACGGGGCATTTTGTTTTCTCTCGATTTTACGTGTATACATGCGTATGCATATCTTTCCGATCTCGTGCATTCGCGAGACGAACAAACGTCCGGCTGTGTATACTTACTTACCTTCCAAGCATCCATCAAAAACGCGAGAGCCGGAACAACGTTTGCGTAAACCCCGTGCACGTATACGTACGCGGACGTCAGCGTCTTTCTTTCATCTAGTATCCGACAAAACAAAAACAAAAAATAAAAGCAAAACGGCAATCCCATAACAGCGTGCATATACAAGTGCCTTTGTATCGTGCACACGCAATACGTACGGGTACTCTTACCTACTGGATGAAAGGAGCCACTTGGACGCGGAATTGATAGCCAAAGCATGTACGCGATGGTGGTCGGATAATAGCAGGGAACAGCAGCGTGGGGGGTGTGTGTATTTGCAACAATGAGAGGGGGAGGGTATATCACCCGGAGGTTTGGATTTTTCATGCCGCGGCTTCTTCGATTCGATCGCCGAGTGTACGTGTGTGTGTGTATTGTTACGGTAAATATTGTAGAGTCTACGCGAGCGGTAGCGGAGAGGAATTTTAATGGGGAGGCGGTGTCGGTTCTATCTCGGACTAGTTGTTTCTTCCGTGTTTTTTTTTTTTTTGTTTTTTTTTTTGTTTTTTTTTTTCAATCGTTCCGACACATTTGGTTCTATTGATTTTTATTACCGATGGTGGGCGCATGTGGCGGAAATATCGATAAATTTTCAGCTGAAGAAGCAGGACACTTTTTACGTATTTTTCTTTTTTTTTTGTCATCTGATTTATATCTGCCAAGAGACTCCCGACCGAGTTGTAGATTTTACAGATAGAGCGTCGATGAATATGAAGGAGTTTCATTAATATTCATGGTTTTTTTTTTTTTTTTTATCATACGATTTATTTGATCTATAAAAAAAAAAAAAAAAAAAAAAATTGATCACAAGTACATTAATCACGAGAGTATGTAGCAAACTATATAAATCATCAATCATAAACGTTATTCGACCTTCAAAAGCACGGACTTCCGAGACCTACGGGTCCGAGGGGTGGGGTGCTACCCACGCGCCATTAACGTTTTGGGGGTTGAACGGTGATTCACACCATTAAACACCAACAATGGGGGGGTAATTGAAAGAGCCCTGTGATTGACAAAGAAAAAATGGTTTTTTTTGTTTCCCCCGACAGAGCGAGAGCCGAGAGGAGGTGATAACGACGAGTTCGGTGGTGAGCACAGCCACGAAAAAGAAGAAGAAGATCGAGGGTAGCGCGGCCAGCGATGCCTCGCCAAATCACACGAAAACCAAGAAAACTAAGAAAAGCAAGAAGAGCGAGCTCGAGAAGGAGAACATCTCCGTGGTGAGTTTTATTTTATTTCATGTTATTTTTAACATAAAAAATATACTCGTGAACAGGTCATAAGGGAATTTTTAATGAAAAACCATTACGGCGATCTCGAGTTTCGTTAAAGGGAGGGAGAAAAAGAAAAAGAAAGCAAAGAGCACCATGAGAACGAATGCGCGGTGTAAATGTACGTAGATGTTGCATCTGCTTGAGCTTTTCATCGCAATTCTCTGTTCAATCAATGTTTCACATCGCAGCAACGATATATAACATATTATATGCTCGGGAGCTTTAGCTGTAACAGTAATATTGAAAAAAAAAAAAAAAAAAAAAAAATTGTCCGCTATAACATACAATGTGTGTGCGCATCAGAAGAAGAAAATAAAGTCGAAAGACTCGAGCAAGTCGTCGTCGGAGAGCATGAGAACGGCATCGTCGCGGCAGCCGTCCGCGGAGATGATCGAAATCTCCGGCGAAGACGATCTGTCGAACATCAACGTCAAGTCACTGGTAAGTCCTCGCTTCGCTTCCATCTATCATCCCCCACCCTTTTCTTATATTTTTTTTTGTCGTATACACGATACAACGATACATATGCATACAGGTGGAAAAAAATACGCTATATTTTTCATTAGCACAATTAACGAGTATGTCCAATAATCGTTTATAGACGTGGAAAATACTTATATTTTTTTCCATCGGCATACCATACAGTGTATCGGCTGCTTTTGGGTTAGTTGTATATATGTACACCCACACGTCCAAAAATTAATCGCTCTCATTGTTCATCGTGATCAGCATTAACCAGCAAAAACCCAACCCCATTGTCATGTTGTCATTGGCATTGCTGTGAGTCAGTGGTACGGATGCGCCTTTGATTTTATTTTCTAACCAAGTCGCGTGTGCCGCAATCATACCGATCGGGGTATTTTCTGCGAATTGGAATGCGCGTGTATTTTTGGAAACGGTTATGTCAACCGCGCGCTCTCGCAGCTAAGTGTCTTTTAATTTTTTCCCTCCTCCTCCTCCTCCTCCTCCTCCTCCCAAAGTGCATTGACTCCCTTCTCGCGATGAAATTAGCTCGCGAGAGCTCGAGAGTGCATTCCGGGATGCGAGCGCGATTCTATTTTTACACCGAAGCGAGAAAAAATTCGAGAGGCGTGAATACACGTATTTGTGTGTGTGTGTACGCGTGGGTGCCGTGCAACGACTCGAAAAGGGAGGAAAAAAGGACGTGGATTTCGCACGCGTTGAATTCGAGAATTATTTTGCACAAATGAAGGAGAAAAAAAAAAAGCATGGGTGTTGCAATTGTTACTTTGTTTTGTTTTTTTTTCTTTTTTCTTTTTTATCAGTTTCAAGAGTATTAATATCAATCAGCATGTGTTGTTTTCTTTTTTGGTGTCGATTAACACTACGTGTTTTGTGGGTTTCATAACATCTTTGCATGTGCATAGACGGAAACGTATGTGTCGGAGACGAACCGCGTAGAGCCAGAGAAGTCGAACAAAGAAATCATCGCCACGGGCGTTTCCATCAAACAATTGGTAAGACAATCGTAATTTTTACACCCAATCATACCTATATACTTGACCGCGTATGTACCCTATACATAATAATATGTTAACCCAATAACCTTTCGATACATATGACTTTCTTAAAATTGAGTAGCTAGAAATTCTCTCGATGGCTGGTCAATTGATAATTAATGTTAACATTGCCTCTGGAGTTACTTATACCTTTTGTGTTTCTTGTGTCTGACTTGCGCGTGACTAACAACAGTGCCGTAGCTTTGGAGACGTCTCGAACATGAGCGACACCGACCGGCCGGCGCTCGGCGTCGCGGAAAACAACAAATTCCAAGAGGTCAGTCATTCTAATCTCGCTCCAACATTTTTCTTTTCTCTAATCTGTCTTTGTAACTCGGGGATTGTAATTTTCATTTTGATCCGATCGCGTACTCCCATCGATCCAAATCACAATCGTTTTGTTTTTTCACAGACGGGGATCAAAATGAACATTACCGTAGTTCCATACATTAATTATATAGAGATGGATAAGCAGCAAATAATGATAACTAACTTGAAACTAACGCGTAACGATTTACAACAGTTAATTGGCAACAATCATGATGTATACATACATAACATTAACATAAAAGTACAGTAGATGCAGTTAATTGATTCGCAAGTTGGTGTATAACAGTATATCGTGCGATATAATAATATAAGTGTACTTGCCTCCATATATTATATATGTATACCATGATGCAGTACAAGCATATATTATATTATATTGTACGATGCAAATAACGATTAGGCTAAAGCAATTGAATGCGCTTGCGTCAGAGTAACACACAAGTACAGTGTACGTGACCGAAGGAGCCTCGTTGTTGTATTAACTTATTCTCTTGCTCGATATCTATTTTTCAAAACAACGACTGCGACCAAGTGTTTCTATATATGTACCTAATAATACCATAATACGTAGATGTAACGAATGATTTCCGATTTAACAATACTAACATCATCCCCGTTTACAATTACTACCATCACCACGATCTGCGGACGCCTCCGTGACTTGGATCCAAACAACCGACCAACTCCTTGAAAACAACAACAAAAATACTAAAAACCATCACGACATCCAAAACAATAAAAACATAAATAAAAATAACAAACAAACGAACAAAAAAAAGAGGGCCAAATCGACGGGCGACTTGAGCTTGTTCGAGCGGCAGGAGCCCAGCAAGTACTTGACCACTCGCGACATCGTTTTCGCCACCGTAAACGTCAAGGCTCTCGTAAGTATATGATATAGTATATCTGCGTCTCCTCTTCTGCACCTCATCTTGCACTCGATTACTGTTATCTTCCTCTTTTTTTTTTTATTTTACCATCGCCCCGCATGCGTGAAAAATGAAACGAAAAGCAAGCATCCTCGTAAAAAACTGAATCGGAACAAAAAAAAAGACAGACACACCACTCGAGACGGTTCTTTTTTTCCCTTCGATAAAACCGTGACCATTTCGACGTTCATTTGAATGAAAAAAAAAAAAAATTTAGCAGCATTCGCCGAAATTACGACAGTGCATATACTACAAGAGCGAAAATTGGGCAGCAGCGGAATCGTGTCGCGCGCCAAGTCGTGCATATACCCTTTGCAAAAACGAAGCAGCAACAGTAGTAAAAGAGGACTCTCTTTCGCAATAGAGCAACAACGCAACGATGATAATCATACGGCTCGCGAGTACTCGCGGCACCGGCGAATTTTCTACAGGTGGGCAAGACATGCACTTTCTCTCCGAGCTTTGCCACCGCGTAAGTTTGGCTTCCTCCGTTATGCAAACGCAAAAATACGGTCCAAATAAAATCTCGTCCACGAACAGAGGCCTGGCTGTACACCAAATCAAATAAAAAAAAAAAAAAACCAACAGCTTTTTGGCTCGCACAAAGGAACGAGCCGCGGTGATACCGTAGATTAGAAAGCGCGAACTTTGTCCACGCCCCTCCCCCTGGAGGAAAAGGCCAAACATCCCCCCTTCCCCCCCCCCGGTTGCACCGCGTCTCGGGTTACACCCTGTAGGCTCGTGTTTTTCCGCGATTTACGCGCGCATATTATATACACGCTTACACAGCACACCATATATACAATATACATGTGTATACCTGTAGGCCCGTTTTCCGTACATCTTTTCCTGCACAAGCTGAGTCGTGCGTACATGTATACTTACCTTGCAACGGAGCACCGTGTGAATTACTCTAACCCCGGATCCTTTTCCGAAACACGCGCTCCTTCGTGTGGATGGACCCTATCGGGGAGATTTTATGAAAAAATAAGGATATCAGAGGGAGGTGAGAGAGGATCGAATGGACAAATAAGAGTGCAATGACTGGGGAAAAAATAAAAAAAAAAAAAAAAAAAAAAAAACCCAACGAGAGATGACACGTGTGGTTGTGCAGAGGGCGTCGTACGTTAATCTGGCGAACGGGGAGGATTGCGAGGCCGATGACAGGCGCAGGCGTCTCGGCATCGGCGGGCCCATCTGCAAGCCCCCGGGCTCGATTTTTCAGGTAAGGTGTCCGACTATGCCCCCACGAGACTCCTCCTCCTCCTCCTTATATCGAGCCTTTTGTTTTTTGTTGTTGTAAATAGTACCTACGTGCGTGTGATGTCTTTGTCCTCGGTACATACCATACTATATCTTTGATTTTTGCTCCTTTTTCGAGTGTTTTTTCTTTTTTTCATGTTTTTACGTACGCGAGTGAATTTTATTTCATTGAACGATTCGATTCACCTGTATAATTAATTATTCTTACTTAACTCAAATATGAATTGATTGTACCTTTATTCTACGAATGATACATCATACAGGTGTCCTTCGTTTTGTCCATTTCGCCGCTTTTTTGTTGTATACACATACCAACCGAGTCTCGAGATGAAAAAAAAAAAAAAAAAAAAAAAAACAATACTATAAGCACCGTGGGAGAGCCCCAAGGATTTGTTTGCACGGGCCAGGAATTTTTTTTATCCGTGCAATCGTATATATTATGTCGTAAAAAANTTCATAAGTACTATGCATAAAAAAAAAAAAAAAAAAATCCCACATGAACAACGCATCCAACTCTTGAATAATACCCAAATGAAGTGACTTTTCCACAGACCCAAAGCTCCTTTCTCTCCTTTCTTCTGAACCATTTGCTTTCGCGCTCACTCCCCCACACTTGTATCATATATCCTCTTTACGATTTCTACCTCACCCTGCAACACACTGACATTTACGGTACACGTACACACACAGCGCTTGATTTACGATACAACGATCACTGGTGATGCTTACTCCTTCCCTTGATTTTTTTTTTTTTTTTTATGTATGCTGCTGTTTTTTTTTCCCGCTGATGAACCTATTATATGCTTGTAGCTCATCTCTTTGTGTCTCTCTGCGTTATTGTATATATGTGTGTAGATAAAAGCTTGCAGCTTTTGTGGGCAGTAAGTTCTGTGTCAAGGAGTGTAATGCATCAGCATTACGTGCACGTGTGGTGGTGTTTCCCTTACGTATATAGTATAGGTTATACATTGCACATTACAGTTACGTAGCGTATACGAGCAGTAGATGGCTAATTGGGTTATTGGTAATGGTATTACGATTTTGGTGTACACCTTGTACTGTTTTTCAACGAGTTTGTGTCCCACCCGAGTGGCTAATCGGTTGTGGCAGGCTCGACGCGTTGATGCGACCACCTGACTGGCTTTTGCTGCAAGAGTATGGTTGCAAAATTGACTCTACGGTAAGCTTCGAACGACATTTCAACGAGAAGGTAAATGGTTTCACAGGGGCAAGTGGGCTTGATTTTGCAACCATATGGAGCAGCTTGCAGTCCACGGCCTCCGCAATAAAGAGTCGAGTGTTTTGTTGGGTGCACACAATGTCGACAGAGTGACGTTTTTTTTTTTTTTTTCGAACAAGTACCTATACTTGACAATATTGATTGTTCCAAGTGATTCAACGAAACGAAGGAGATCGATCTTTTTGCCTTCATAAACCGCACCAATGGAATTGATTGTCAGCTCGTACACACGCATCATGTCCCGGTTGATTGGACGGACAATTTGCCGAAAGCGCACCTACCCGCGGTTAACTGTACAATAAAAAAAAATAAAAAAACATCTGTAAATACCGATATATAGCACAGGGCCAAAAGGGATGCATAACCTTGAGATTAGACATCACGATTTTGGGTAAAGACACTTTGCTCTTACGCGTCGTTGCAATGGGAATCGGCACTTGAAAACAAAGCATAAAAGATCGATCCCCACATGTAGAGGTAAAAAAGGCACTCTGTCGTCGCAAAAAACGGCACTCACATGGGCAAGGAAAGGGGCGAGCGATTCTAATGCTTGCGACGTTTCGTTTGCAGAAAACGAGCTTCAACAAATTCGACGCCCTCGCCAAGAAGTCAGCCTCGGCGGCCGTGCTCCACGTGCGCTCCGTCGACGCCGGCAAGGTGCACCAGCAGCTCAATGCCGTAAGTGTTGCCATAAAAATCTATTCCAATTTCTCCATAACAAGTGCCCGCCGTTTTCGTACAGTACGTACTCATATATGTAATCGTGAATAAAACGCATACAAACAGGAAATCGGCACGCGCGAGGAGCGTTTGTTTACAAATTGCCGATTCTTACATGGACTGCGGAATTAGCGACGGTGACGACGTACAGTCCGAAAGTTCGTAAACGCTGATTTATTACCACAGCCTTTTAAGCTCCGAAGCGATCGTTATTTTGCCTTTTTTCACCAAGACGGACGGAAACGCATTTTTACCTTGGGAAAAAGTACGTTATGTGGGTATATAGTGTGGCGGTGACGACGACGGCAGAAAGAGAGAGAGAGAGCAAGTACACGGAAGCCCGTTAAAAGCACCGGCTGTACCACGTAATACAAACGATGTGCCTTTGTCGTGTGTATCGGGTAAAAAGCTTGACCCGGAAATTGGCGTTTACGTATATTATGTGCATACGGTGAGTCGGCGTTAGAAGTGTATCGGTAAATGTATATATTTTTTAGCCTTTTTTTTCGGCGTGCCAACGGGAATGGCTACCTATACTATTGTTGCAGAGATATTTTAACCAAACGAGTGATATTTACTCACCGTTTGCTCCTTTTTGGGAAAAATATAAACTTAGTCGTGAGATGAAACGAGCGTTTAATAATACCTGCCACTAAAACCTATATCAATAGAGACGGTATCGATAATCATCTGTCAGATGTAACCAGATGCGCCTCCAGTCACCTCGATTTTTTTCATCAGGGGCCGATCGGAACGCTTATCTCGGAGCTGTACTTATACATCGTTGCGGAAACACGTCAGTTAATAATCATACGACACAGCCAATTAATTCTTAATACCCTCGCATCAAAGAGGGCACGACTCCGTTGTCGCCTGATAAAAACTATTTTATGAAAAAAAAAAAAAAAAAAAAAATAGCGCGCACACTCGTCGATTTATCGGGCATCGTCCGACGTACCGTTGCATCCTCGTCGCGAAAACAAATTCACATCCTCGCACTCGTCGATGTGTACCGTTGAAAACTGGTTTTTCCCTTTGGCTCGTGCATAGCTCTCTCTCTCTCCGTTCAATAAATGTATAATCCCGAAGCCTTCCCGAACCCTTTCCCCTCTAATGAGCTGCGTTATTTCTTCATTTCCCGTTCTCTCCACGGGCGATTAAATTTCACGTGCCCCAGCGACTCGATTGGGAAACGTAACAGGAGAATTTTTGGTCCCAACTTCCCCAATCGATTGGAATTTCCTTGAAAAAGACAAAAAAAATTGGCAACAAGATGACCGCACTGAACCGATTCTGGAGAGAGAGGAAGAGATAAAAATTCGAAAGTCGCCCGGAAAGTTTGCCAAGCCACGCTTTCGAGCTCGACCGTGTCTGAAAAATATAAATTCCCTCGATCAAAATTGATATCGGCACGAAAGAAGAGAAAGAAAGAAAGAGAGAGAGAGAAAAAAAAATTGTCAATCACGTGCGTAGGTATCGAACGGTGAGGTGAACCCAAATTGTCGCAGCTGCGGCAAGGTCGTCTTCCAAATGGAGCAGACGAAGGCCGAGGGCTTGGTCTGGCACAAGAACTGCTTCCGGTGCGTGCAGTGCAGCAAGCAGCTAAGCGTCGACAATTACGAGAGCCACGAGGCCACCCTCTACTGCAAGCCCCACTTCAGGGAGCTCTTCCAGCCCAAGCCCGTCGAGGAGACCGATCAGACAAGTAAGCGAGGCATCGATTTTTCTCCCTCGATGTACGCTTTTCCTCTCGTATATGTGCGTGTGAACACGCGGTACATACATTTATACAGGTCTCTCTTTTTTTTTTTTTTTTTTTTTTTCCTCTCTTGTGACCTACTTTCTGTTTCATTTACTTCATTTTGGAAGTCCTACAGGGCTATTAGATCGATACGTGACTTGGACAATGTATATTATGTGGTCTTTCGATCGTTATTGTATATACACTCATCACTTACTGGCAGAGCATTTTTTTCCTTTTCCTTTTTTTCTTTTTTTTTTTTTTTTAAGGAAGTGGATGATTCGGTGGATACTTGAGCGGTGCTAGTCGATTTCTTCGTCACTCTAATCGCGATGACTTAACATTTTATTGGAGCGAAGCTTACACATACGTGCTTCCTGAAGATTTCGAAGAAAAACGAAATTTTCAACACATGACCATATCATTTTATCTATACACGCACACGCGAATATATATATATAAACATACACACACGAGTCCGTGACATTGAAAGTATGTCATTATTATTATTATTGTATAGGCAAGGTTTTATTTTCGTAAGTGTGTTTTTATCGATTCGTACGCTCTTCAAAGAGCTTCGAAGTTTTTGGCCAAACGTTTGATATAATATGTGTACACGTTTGATTGTGTTTTCGGTTGTGCAAACACGCATTGACACTCATCCACACACATTTATTTACTCAAGGATATTATGGAACAAACAAAAAAAAACCTATGAAAATTAAAACTAATAACTTTTTTTCTCTCGCTAATTGCAAAGAACAAGAAAAAAAAATTTATTTAGTAAATAAATAAATAAATATCCGTTTGTAGTGCGGCCCCGCAAGCCAGAAATGATCATACGCGAGAACCAGCCAAAAGAGCTGCCACCCGACGTGGTCAGAGGTAAAAATCCTCGAGTGGCTTGCAGATGAATTTTCTCTATTTGGACATGTTTTTATTTTTTTTATACATCTTCTTCTTCTTCTTCTTCTTTTGTTTCGTTATTGCTCGTTTATGTTGTATTTTATTTCGTTTTGTTTTGTTTTCTCTTTTTTATCATAATCTACATGTAAGCTACTTGAATATTATTTATTATTTTTTTATTTTTTTTTTTTTAACAAAGCAATGAATCTTTAATAGATCAAGTAGCTTATCCATCGTTGATTTTTTTTGTTGTTTTTTTTTTTGTATGTGTAATCGATGGACATCAAAATGTTTTAATACGTGTATTTACAAAGAATATAATTTGTTTTAACATAAACTAACAATTCGTTGTGCAACAAAATGTGAATTTGTTTTAAGTGAGACATGTTTGATTTGCAAGTTGCATCACTTTGATTTAAAAAATGTTCTTCAATATCTCATTTTCAATCGAATTTTGTGATGATGGAAAAGAAAAAAAGCCAAATAACACCAAAATCACACAAACTCATGAAATAACAAAAAAGAAAATATAAACCATACTCTTAAACTAAAAATAACAGCACTCATCACGTTGACTGCGAATTTTGGACGAAACTCACAAACTCATAACCCAAAAAAAAAAAAAAAGAATTTCTTTTGTCTACTCTAATCGCAACATGTACAAATACATCGTATGAATTTAACAATAACCTCGACATTGGCAGGATTGTTGTTGTTGTTTTTTTTTTTTTTAATTCTGTCCCACCGCATAACGATTTCACTGACTCTATACTGTTTTTTTTTTTTTTTTTGTTCTTCCATCGTCTTTGCAGCGTCGGACAAACCAGACCTCGGACTTGACGAGCTGTCCTCCCTGAACGTAAAGTCGCGCTTCCAGGTCTTCGAGAAGGCCAACGAGCCGAGCGCCAACGACATCGAGCGCTCCCCCTCGCAGGTCGCGGTCAAGAGGTCGCCCAGTATACTCAGCAAATTAGCCAAGTAAGCTTTCTACCCTCTTGCCTTTCTATTTTTTTTTTTTTTTTTTTTTTTCATCCTCCTCCCCTGATCTCATTTTCTTCCAATCCAAGCATTTTCTAAATGTGGCACTCGTTCCGTAGATTCCAAGCGAAAGGAATGAACATTGGCGTGGCCGACGAGCAGCTCAACGGCATCCCCTACGAGGAGTCCAGCGACAGCGAGGGGGAAGAGGAGGAGGAGGAGACGGAAGGTGAGAGACTCTTTGCCAGAGAAACAAGTCCGTGCGAAAAAAACAACGGCCCGTTCTTTCGACTTCCAAAACGCTTCGGATCACCGATATACCTACATGAATGCACACAGTTTCGATCATCAATTGCTCAACAAGCGGCGAAAACAGTCCCAACACATCCACACCCACACACGCACGGGTGTACAATGTACATGCCCGTTCCTTTTGTCTCGCGAGTTACGCTCACTTTCCCCGAAAGGGGTCAATAAGTACAAGTGCACACGTTGCCGTCTGCGCGCACACGACGGATCGAATAACGCGACCAGCAACTTACACCTATAATATATATAGGTACTCGTAAGTGTTTTCGACAGCCACCATTCCAATTAGTACACCTTTGTCATGCTCGCGGGCTTCTTCCTCTTCTTTAACCGTTGTCTCGCAGTCTCGAGTGATTTTTAATCAATTATGTTTCAACGCGAGCTAGGGCAGTCGCGCTGGTGTGTGTACCCTACTGGTGATAGCTCCGTAGCAATGAAATTTCGGATGACATGGTGTTAACCAGTGATGAAAATTGTTCCGCAGAAACAGAGTCGGAGACGGCGATCGTGAAGGCGAAGCGGGGCAGCCGCGAGCGGCCGATGAGCTTCACGAAGATGTGCGACATGAAGAACCGCTGGGAGACGACGAGCCAGCAGGGAAGGCGCGAGTCCCAGCGCGAGGCCCGCAAGGAAGAGATGGCCGGCATACGCTCGCGACTGTTCATGGTAAGCAAGAAGAGGATGCTGCGAATATTCTTTTTCTTTTTTTTTTTCACAAAGCACGTCGTTCGGATGGACAATCGGATACGTTCGATTTGTTTACGTGACAATGTTTGCGACGCGGCCTACAATCGGACTCGTTAAGCCTGCTTAGGGAGCACGCGTCTCTCTCCCTCTGTATGTACGGGTGTTTATATTTATAGTCCAGCATTCGAGAAAACTTTGAGAGGCTTTCCGACGCGCCGTTAGGTAACGCTCTCTCACCCGGACGGAAATACTTCCACGGGGGCGCGAGGCAAATATTTGTGTTTACATCGGGATACCAACTCGCGCGTGCTTTCGTACAATCACTATTTTCGCTTTCGATTATTGTGAAAATAAAATGGCACAGCGCGGTGTACATATTTTTTTTTTTTTTTTTTCAATCGTACATCGATTAGTTTTTTAACAATGGGACAAGGGCGCCCATTGGGGTGGAAATCCATTCGGGTGGACGAGGGAGAAATGAAAAAAAAAAGAAAATCAATGGAAGAAAACGAAGGCAATGTAGCCACGTATAGACAAATCGCGTCCTCGAGAAACAGTGTATACGCGGCCAGCAGCGCGCAAAGCCCGCACGCATAACCGGCGGATCCCGAAATAGATGTCTAAAAGCTCTCGGGTCCCCAAACGCGAACCACACGCTCTGACCCAGAAATCCAGAGACACACCGTAAAGAAAGTGCTGTAAGGAAACGCTTTTTTTTTTCCTCCACCGGTGCACTAACGCATCCCCCTGTCGGAATTAGCTGGCGATTTATGTTCACCGAAACCCAAAAAAGCTGAATGTGATGCAAGTGGAATGTAACAATCAATTTTCTTTTTTTTTTTCATCCGCGCCTCGCGTGCCCTCGGGTAAATTTGTTACTTACGCGTGACGAGTATACCCACTGTATCTTTGTGAGAAAAGGTGGACAATCGTAAAATACGGTAACGAATGAGAGAGAAAAAAAAAAAAAAAAAAAAAAAAAAAAAAAAAAACCCAACGAGCAAAAACAAAGGGAAAAAGGTCACTCACGTAGCTTATCGTAAATTATGGATGCACCCTCAAAGAAGTNAAGAAAAAAAAAAAAAAAAAAAAAAAAAAAAAATTGCAGGGCAAGCAGGGCAAGATGAAGGAGATGTACCAGCAGGCGGTGGCCGACAGCGAGCGGGTGACCAAAATAAACGCCGCCGAAGAGATCCAGCACGCGACGAACGCGCGCTCGATCAAGGAGCGCTTCGAGCGCGGCGAGCCCATCGCGGCCAGCGACGAGGAGCTCGACGCCAAGAACAAGCCCGAAAAGGCCGACGAGGAGATACTCGCGGCTGGTGAGTACAATTCCAACCCCCTTGGTGGGGATGGTCAGATTGGTCGCGCGGGAGCGAGGATGATGCGGGGCGTGTGTTGAAGCCCAACGAGTAACTCGATCGTCATTTCGCAGGAATCAGCCGAAAGTCGCGCTCCCTATTTCTGGAGCTGGACGCCTCGGCCGCGAAGACGGGCAGGCCCGTGACGCCGAACAGCACGCCCAAGTCAGGGGCGGAGACGCCCAGGCGGGCGCGTGACGTGAGTACCCCGGGAATCTTGCACGTTTGTTGTTTTTTATTTTTTTTTTTATTTTTTTTTTTTTTTCCTCTCCTCTTGTGGTTGCGGATTCGCGTCATCCGTAAAAAAAATACACGCTCGTGCATGGACGGAGGGTCTTTGGAAATTGAGACACGCCACGTGTGTGTATTTATTAAAGTGTTGAGTGTGTACGCGAAGCCATGTGTCGGGGGGATAAGACTGACGAAAGGAGGGAGGTTCTCCTTATGGGTTTTTTTTTTGTTTTTTTTGGCGAGTCGTATGAATCGAAGCTGCACGTTGTACCAAAATATTTTTACACCATATGATTAGTTGGTGGCGTGAAAAGTAAACCAAGTGAAACAATAGGTATTCATGGGTCGTCAAGTGTCGGACGACGTGGTGAGGAGTAGCGACACGACCGAGGAGGTGCAGGTCGACGTGTCCGACATCTCGAATAAGTTTAAGTTCTTCGAGAGCTACAGGGAGCCAGAAAAGATGCGCAAACAGTTCCGGATCACGCCGCCCCGAGACGGACAAGTCAAGGTTCGCTTCCTTTTGGCCCCCCACCCCACCCCGCTGACGTTTGTTTCCGTTGTTTTTGCTTCAGTGTGCTTTTTTCACGTGTTAGTATCCCTCCGACTAACATTGTTTTTACTCCAAAAACACCGCCTGTGTCTGACCCTCACGATATCTGTATCTACTCACAGATGAGTCGTCATTATTTCGCTCTAATTGGATGAGAAAAAGTGCTTTTGAAAATCAATTGCACTTGTTCGTACGCGTAGTTATACTAAAACGTTTCTTCGAGAAAGAAAATGGAAAAAAAAAAAAATAGAGTTTTGCATTCCTTGTAAAGAAACGTGAACGATCCTCGTGTGAAATAACGTGTTTGTCTTGCACCAACTAATGACACGGTTCCAATGTGTTGCTGTTGTTTTCTTCCACGAGTTTTCTTTGGCCAATTAACCGCTTTAGCAAAATAACATTCAATTCCAGTAGATGTCATGGATTTAAATGCATATACATATACGTATACGTGGTATGAATATATATTATACAAGAGCAGAGCGACAACTCATTATTCGATTGTAATTGAAAAAAAGAAGGGTGGGAGAGCGAGACGAAATTTAGCGCATATTTATGTAAATTCTCGAACTCATGAGAAACAAACTCTCTCCTTTCATATAGACATAAATGAGGGCTAATGCACTCATTGTCGTTCTCACGATAATCCTGTGCAGGAGATATGTATTTTACACATCCCTCTCGCTCGAGTCATCTGGGAATATTTTGTCAAACTATCACGTCCACTTTTCTTTGTACTAGTATGAACAAGATTTTGCACGGAAACAAAGGGTAGTTTCCCAATCCATACGCAACTAGAAGGTATTTTTGTAAAAAATCCCACCGCTCGAGAATGAAACAACTGACCCGAGTTTCCCCTCGATACATCTAAAAAACCATCCCCGCGTCTCATTATACTCGTGGCTCTGCAAAAAAGAAAAAAAAAAACCAATCTGACAGCGAGCAAGCCCAACGAACCAGAACCACCGCAGCAGCGGCGATCGGAAAAAAAGCTCAGCTCGGACTGCAGCTGCGGAAAGCAAAGAGGTAGTGATTGCAAGAGCCTCCCATGGCAAAACAAACTCGACAGTCGTGCACCAACGCACCGAGGGTATACAAAGGACGAAGACGCGTTGCGAGGGAGGGAAAAAAAATTAAAAACAAAAATTAGGTAAATCGTAGACGCGTGTGGAAAGGGGGGAAGATGCAAATCGCGTTTAAAGGGAGAAACATCCTGATGCAGATCCTGCCACACATGTCCGGTATTTTGTATGTTTTTTAGGCATAGGTAGGGCGAAAACAAGTATACGCGCTACGGATGTATACACGTATAAAATGTGGCTCTGCGTGAGTTTACGACCAAGGGTGGAGTCAAACGGCCAACGGGGGGTTGATTGTTTTCGCTTCGTATTCGTAAACGGTAATGAAAATTGATGTCGCTCGCGCAGCTACACGTGTAATGTAAGGCGTGTCACGTGGCCCCCAAGCGCAATAGCGAAAAAAACGAACGCACAACTTGGCGAATCATCAGGCCGAAAAGTAGTGACCTAATTCGGCCAAAGGGGACAATGAATCACCACCCACTCTTGGCCTCACAGCTCCTTTTTTATATTCATTTATATCCCGCGTCGCGCCGCTTCGAGTTGGAATTAAAAAAAAGGGGGGAGGGGAAGTAGCCTCCCCCCGGAGAGGAGGAGAGAAGAAGAAAAAAGAGCACACATCTCGAGAGCGGGAATAACCCAGTCCAGTCACCATACAACGAAATAATACACATTTACATCGGGGAGGAAAAGAGCGCCGAGTGTGGAAAATATGTATCCGGCGTGTAAAAAGGTGTGTATGGTGGTGTATGAGGTATAATATGGGGTGAAGCACATCAGGTACGTGTGTAAAGAGAGAGAGAAGAGCGTCGAAGACGATGCGCTACGGGGGCTGTCCTTGAAACCCTCGGGAAAGATCGAAAAAGAGAGCAAAGTTACATGTATACCGTGTGTGTTCACCGGTATAGTTATACACGGGCACACGTGAGGAGTAGAAGAAGAGTCGGGCATGTGTACGTTTACCGTTAGTGTGCCCACATCCTTCCATTCGTCAGGAGAGGCTCAGGCGCTGCTGCTCTGGCGAGCTTCTCTCCTCCTCCTCCTTCGCGACTGTTGCCGATATATATGTATATGTATATGAAGCTTGGGCCGTAGGGAACCGATGCAGTTTCAGAGCGACCGGGTTTCGGTTCGGTTGGATGTTATAGCTGCGCGATAGTTTGTGTTTGTGCAGGGGACAACTCCGCGGGTGAGCTTAGAAGGTGCTTTTTTTCGCTCCCGAGGGACTATAGTGATTAACTGTGGTGAACGACCCAGGGCTTTGTGCCATTTTCCATTGCCCAGAAGAGCCGAGACGGAATCGGCGCTCTCCACCCTGGAATTGTTGAAGGTACAAACATGGTTTTTTTTTTTTTTTTTTTTTTTTGTTCCACCCGACGAGACTTTGAATTCGCGAAAAATCCAGAGCTTTCGTCAAAAGCTCATCAATTGTATATACGTATAACAACGCGCGACGGTTTCAACCGATTTTTCATCAGTGCGTCAAACGGGCCCAATGTCACGCGCGATGCAAAATAAACAAAAAAAGACAAGAACTCGTTGATCCGTACACTATACAGTTGTGAGTCCCACGATAGAGGAAAGAGCCGGAGAATCATTTTTTTTTTTTTTTTTTTTTTTCATCAGATGGTGAAGAAAAAAATAATCGAGTCGCGACGGTAGGGTCTACAACTTTTTTTTTTTGTTTCTACGTCTGTGGCAAAAAAAAAAGAAAAAAATCAGCCAGAGTCCCTCGAGCGGCCATACGTTCACGAAAGGCTTACACGCGCGGCAAATCGTGTATACACGAATAATACGGACGAAAGGGAGGAAGACCCGGGAAAAGGAGACGGAGAAGAAAAAAGAACAAGTGGAGGAGAGAGAGAACACACACGGGGCCTCATACGTGCTGCTGCTGGTTGTATTGTGGTGCACGTATATGTATATGTCTACGGAGACGAGTTTGTGGCCATACATATATATTTATACACAAGGGGGGGATCCTTGCATGGTAACGCCGCGGCAGCGCCGCGCTGGCAAGTTTTAGGATCGACATTAACGAGTGAAAAATGCATTCCGAGTTTATATGCACGGAAAAACAATCCACCTTAATTTTAAGGCTCGACGTGGACCGGTTTTCTTGTCAAAAACTTTCATTGTTGTTCAGTTTATGTATACTACCTCTCTCTTCCTCTCTCCGTACTGAGATGGTATGAAAATAAGATGTAATTGCACACGGATATAATTATCGTGCACCAACACAATTAACCTGATGGGGCAGAGTAGAAGCATTGTAGATGCCCATGTAATTCAGATCTACGGGCCCACATCAAATCATACCATGCTCGTAAAGATCGTTGCACTCGTCTGACTCTCTGAACTACTACAAGTTGGTCTAATCGTCGGGTTGCGTCAGAAGCGGCTGATAGGTACAAACACACCGGTTCGTCGGCCTCGCAAGTCGTAATAAAAAGAATCATAATTTTTATCATTTCTTGATAAGGCATACAAAGTCACTTGAAACAAATCTCGCAAATAACTCAAGGGTCCCAATAAAACGCGTCTATCGGTATGTATATACTTTCACCGTAATCGGGCATAAAAAAAACCCCCAACATGCTAAAAGGGATTTTTTTTTTTTTTTTTTTTCCCCCTTTTTTTTTTTTTTTTCTTGGGGGTTCCGGAAAAAGTTCGATATTATGAGAGAACTTTTTGCGAAACTCCAGTTTAATGTGAATAATTTGATCTGCACGGTGTTTTTTCAAACACATAATAACATGAATAATCGACTTGGTTTTTGTACATTCTTTTTAACGAAAATCGTACAGTTTTCTCTAGTTTTATTTGTCTTTTATTTTACTTATTCATTATAACCACGTGCGATTCACGAGACACGTTAACAATTGTAGCACAGGTTTTTTCTTTAACATGACTGTGACTTGCTCGATTCGATGTCGTTTTTGTGATTTTTATTGCCTGTACCCCAAAACAAAAAATGCACGAGTAATCAGTGTTGTACATGTATGTACGTGTGTGTGTAATACGTTAATTACCAATTAATTTGTTAAAGGCTCACGTAACACGATTTATTGTTTTACTCGATTATTCAAGATTTTTTTTTGTTACATGGTCAGCTTGATTAACAAAACTACTTATTTTAAGTTGAGTGGCCCAGCATGATTGATTTTTCTATTATTAANAAAAAAAAAAAAAAAAAAAAAAAAAAAAAAAAAAAAAAAAAAGAAAGGATGACACTCGAGGACTATCAATCAATCGGATCGACCGAGTGTCCCAGGCAATCAGTTCGCCTGTCAAAACGATCGTTACTCTAGCCCTCCAACTCGCCCTCTCTCGTGACGTACATGTACACAAACACACCCCTCGCGTTAATCGATGACTCGTCAACTCACACAGCCGATATACACGCTTCGACCCCGTACTACCCCCCGCTACCAATAAAGTACACACGGAGTACATTATACGGAGTCCGAAGAAAGTCATTAGCTGGTTAATCGTGTGTGCGCGCCTAATGTTGCGTCAACGAAAAATAGTGACTCGCGATCTCCGGGCTAGCCGATATGTGTATATATTTATGTGGGAGTGAATAAGTCTGCTTTGCTTCTCACAGGGGCTGCTCTCTCGTGCGTGCCTTCCCTGTTTAGCACATCGTTTCTCTCTCTCTCTTTTTTTTTCCCTACGATATATTTATGGGCTGTATCGACAAGGACGAGCTGCTGCGCATCACACGCGTCATTGGGTACTTTCTTTATTACTCCCGTTGCGCCAATGGGATGGCGATTAATAATAATTGTCCGTGTGACTCGTCAATGCTGCCCAGTGATTTTTTTTTTTTTTTTTTTTTTTTTTTTTTTTTTTTTTTTGTCCCGGCGTTGTGTCTCCTCTTCTGTTCTTGCTAGAGCTCCGCGGGCCTCCTTGCATCGTATAGCAACGATCGGCGAGACGACTCGGGTGCACACCGAGCGAAGGGGAAAGAAGGGAGATCGGTATTTTTTGTTTGGCCTGTGCGGAGTGTTGGGCTGGTGATGCCGAACAGGTGGCGGACAGGTGGGTTTTTCCGTTCTTTTGTTGTACCTCGCCCCCCCCTTTTTTTTCATTCGTGTGTACCTACCGGGAGGGGCTCGAGACCCTCTCGGTCGAGAAGTCGAAAGGGGGAAAAAAACGAGCCTCGAATTTTTCGTTTCGTCGAAGTAAAAGCAAGGACCGTAATTTCAAAAGCATTGTACGTTTTGCTAATCGCTAAAGGATCCAGCTACATGTGCCGGCCCAAAGTTCCGTGAACCCCCGTCTCGCGCATCCCGCGATTTTAATCGACAAAAGGAAAGAAAAGAAAAAAACGACACCGTACGTGCATCCACGGCGAGAGAAAGAGCCCGGCGCACGCACACCGGCTGTGCCCTCGTTTCGCAGGGTCGGAAAGCCGAGCGATTTTCATCCGGCTCTCTCGCGCGCGCTCCACTCATCGCTGCGAAGAAAAAAGGCAAAGAAAAAAAAAAAAAAAAAAAAATCCCAGCCATAGATGCGCGCGAGACACTCTTTTTCCATTCCGGTAATATAAACGGGCCTCTCTCCCTCGATATCTCTCCTCCGCTTGATTCGAGCGACGAATGAAAGCTCCTCTTCCTCGAAAAACGAGCCTCGCGGGAATAAGTTATACACTCATTTATTGTATACGTAGCGCGTATCTATATATTTATACGCGTCGCGCCGAGCAATTATCATCGACAACAATGGTGCGCTGAACGCGCGCACGTGTCCCCGATTTCCTTTCGTCGGCAAAGTGCTTTACCTGCGTCACCAGCTCCTTGGGGACGGAGAAAGAAAAAAAAAAGTCACGTCCACGAGAATGGACAAACGATATGCGTTGCCACGTGTGTATTTTGTAAAAACAAAACAAAAAAAGGTGCATCCATCGGTTGTGTCGTCAATTAAAGCCGCGCAAAAAAAAGAAGAAAGAAAAAAAAAAAAGGAAAGATGAAACGTTACACGCAGGTACAAATGAATAAAATAACCGTGCACTCGCTCCCCAGGGGGGTAGTATATGTATAATACATTATACCCAACGAAGTTTTGATCTCGTGCCGAGTCATCATTAGGCGGCCAAGCTAAGCAGCGCAAGTATACATTAGCCGCATCGCAATCTTAACGCCGCGAGCGTGCAATTCAACGCTATATGGCTATTTTCCTGCTGCCTCGGCGCTCCGTACGTGAAGTGTATGTTCTCCGCTTTCGAACTCTTTTTATCTCTAGGTGTACGTACACGTGTACCCGATGTGTATATTGTACGGACCAGGTGTTTAAAGCTCGATTGTTAATAACACGTAAAGTTATGGCTAATGAACGAGTAAGTAGATGTATAAGCGATGAAAAAAGAGATTTTTCTTTCTTATTCTTCTTGTACGCGTGTACCGCAAGCATCAGGATATAAGTGCGCCGATCCTTTGCGGATGCGCGATCGAAGCTCCGGCTGGTACTCGCGCGCGCGCGTGTGTAGGTACTTTCACGCGTGCCGATCCAACTTCTTTTTCTCTCTCTCTAATTGTTTTCCACTCGACGCCTCAAAATTGCCAATCAGAGCGCAGGGAAGAGCGGAAAATTTCAACTCGATCGACCGTGCCGCCACGAGTCTAATGATGGGTACATCGTATATATATATATATTATATATTTGCGTGCAAATAACTATACGTATTCATAAATGGTTTGGGCGCGGGGAAAGGGAATAAGTATATACGCGACTTGCGCTTCCTCGCGAGCCCTCGAGCATAACCGGCCGACTTTTCTAACGTATACACACGTAGACGGACAAAGTACAGAGTTATTGGAGCAGCCGGTGTGAATCGTTGGGGGGATACACGGGGTTTCAATTTGCGCGTCCGTTTACGGTTATATGGTTGCGCCCCCCTGCCTAATTGCCGTTCGTCTCGCGACAAGTGACTTCTCTTCCTTGATGTAGAGAGTGCATTTTTTTTTAAAATCAAGTAGCGGGTGATTTTAATTTCTGAGTTGCAGCCGATGTCTACAGCTGTTGCGCGATTTTTAGGAGACGGGTGAGAGAGGACTGCACATCACATATAATTACCTTCTTCTTCGTGATTGGGAAACTCGTCGATCCTACGTCTCCACCGAGTGTCGTCAGCTTGGAAATTAAATCAAATGAAGGGTGCTGATGGTGGTGTTTTTAATTTTTTTTTTTTTTTTTTTAAGAATTTGTAATACTTTTGCCAAGTTTTAAAAATTTGTGTGCGATATACAAAAAATTGTCATTTTTTCGGACAAAAATTTGTTTATCCATTAATTCATTAATGTATGATCGTAAGCATGAATTTATAATCATATTAAGTTTTTTTAATCCTTTTTTTTCGTAATTTAAAAATGAAAACATATAATGTGATTCACGAGAAAAATTGTTAAATTATAACAGCCACGCGATCGTCACGTTGTATGATACAGTGCCACATGCGCAATTTTTAATTTTATTTCTTCATACCCCTGGCCTTTACCTATCGTCTAAAGTTTTTTTGTTGGCAAACTTTTGTGTTAAAGCTTTTTATTTGACAATATAATATATTTAATTATAAAATATACTGGTATTTGTTTTGCCCTCCAATCACTCTCAAAACACAAAATCAAAAATGATGGACATGTAACAAAAAAATACAGAAGAAAAGACATAAAGTATGGGTAATATAGTTGATTGCACGATGTAATTTTATTAACATACTTTTGTTTTTATTTGAATAAAATATTTACAAGAATCATAGATGGATATAATCTTTCATTAATTTATTTTTACCTTCACGTTAATCTTTGGAAAAATTTTTATTTATGACGAAGAGTATTCTGTTATTGTTATTATCATATTGAGAATTCTCAATTTTAACGATATACATACGATAAAATACACGTTAATATACATGTAAAATATTATCTTTTATCAAAGTTTGAACGTTGAACCGTTTATTATTTGTTTATATTTAAATAGATCAATTCAAATATAATTAGAGTATATCAATTGTAAATATTTATGAAGATCGAATTAATATCAATATAATATTTACAAGATGATACAAAAATATTTTTTTTTATTCGAAACGACATCGTTTTTTCAAAGATGCGTTATATATACGCAGCGATAATATAAGGAATGGCACATGATTTCANGTTGGTGTTTTTAATTTTTTTTTTTTTTTTTTTTTTTCCCAACAAAACCACACTATATGTATACCTACAGCGCGTGGTTTATTACACAGCTATATAACGATCGAGCGCTGATTGAGTAATTCAGACCAGGCGTTGATCGAAAACTCTACGGGGCATCGTTTTACGATTCCCCCATTGTGATGTGCATAGCTGTTGAAATTTTAATTGAATTCGTTCCCGCAGCAATGAAGGCGGTAGTTTCCGTCAAAAGGCATCGTTGTCCTTTTTTTTGGTGAAGAGGAGGACGAAAAAAAAAAAAATAAATAAAAAATACACCGTCCGTGGACTGTACGAAAGCTTAATAATCGTAATGCAATCGACGCGGTTGAATCTGTTCATCGGAAGCGACTCGGCGTGCTTTCGTTCCTATGCGTAAGATCGTGCAAACGCGTAAATCACGAGATCGGCGAGCTTGCGTACGAGCGCCGAACAGATGGCCATCACACGTACAAAGACCTTTTTTTATTTTTTCTCGTCGTACTCCTCCTCGGCTCGTCCTCATACCTCCGAGGGACGCCGCTGTTGGATTATTTCGTGTTATTATATGCACCGTGTCTTCTTCTTTTCTCCCCCCCCCCCTTTTGCTTTTACATTAACCGTATGGTATGGACGTAACCCATGCGAGTGAGTTATTGTATGCACGGCTAATGAGTACCGAGGAATTTCATCAGGGGGGGGGGCAAGAAGGATTATATCAGACTAAAGTATATATTTATTAATTCATCATTTGCGTTAATTGCGGTCTCATGTACGTATACATAGTATATACGCAAGTTTTTCAAGCTTTTTGTTGTCAATCGACTAAACTATAATTAACGTGTGTGTGTGTGTGTGTCTGTGGCTTTGTACGCGTGATTAAGAAAAAAATAAATAAATAAAAATAAATAAAAATGTTAACAAAGCATTTCTTTTAACACAGAGTGGGTTGTTAATCGCGAATAACACCTGGCACACGGTAGCCGAAACAGACAAAGGGAGCTACACTTGGCTTATTTTTAATTCGCTTTTTCGTGGACGAGGAGCCCACGGGGCCCATGTGACTCATCGACACCCATCGAACGAAACTCGATGCCCCTCGAGCTTCCGGTCGGCTTACATTATACATGCCTCGCTTGCAACGTATTACTTGTATCCGCTCTTATAACCAAACTTGTATTTATTTGACTCATCCACATTTTTCTATTTTTCTCGACAGCGTGGAAATTATAAACAAATATGAAATGATGGTTGGGACGCGAAACAGTAAATGCTTATCCAAAAAAAAAAAAAAAAAAAAAAAATTTCATTTGAACTTTTGTCCATACGAAAACCACTAAAGATGGATTCGCCGGATCGCGAGATCTACCGGGATCCGGACGTGGTGCGCGCGGAGGACCGGGCCGAGGACGTGGTGCGCACCGACACCGCGCGCAAAATGCTCTCGATCTTCCGTCAAATGGAGGAGAAGGCCACGAAAGAGGAGCTCCCCGAGGGCCCGAAGCCGCTCAAGCGGTTCACGCCGCCCCCCGAGGACAAGTTTGCCAAGCCGTCCATGTCGGACGACGACGAGGACGAAGAGGCCGAGGAGTCGGAGGACGAGGAGCACAACCCCAACTACGTCAGAGCCTCCGACAAGGCGAGTCGATAGCGCAATGACTTGGGTGGAGGGGGGGGGGGTAGGTGAAAGTGTATAATCGGTGGTTGTATTCACGGCACAGGTTGAGGACGAGTTCCTGAAGCAGGCGCAGAACGCGGCGCGGGCCAAGACCTTGCGGGCAAAGTTCGAGCACTGGGAGGAGGAGGCCGACGGCAAGGCCAACCACCACCACGTGGCCGAGATGGATTACGCCCAGACGGACGGCAATCAGCCCAGCATCGAGTCGGCGAGTAGTCTCAGGGCTCGCTTCGAGTCGCTGGGCTCCCAGCCGGCCGAGACGCCGCGCGCCCCCAAAGTCAAGGTCAACCGGTTCGTGGTGAGTCAGGATGCCGTTTACTCTGATGGTTTCCCTCCTTTTTTTTCCATTCATCGTTTAAAAATAGCTGTTTCTTTTTTTTTTCCCCCTTTTTTTTTTTTTTTTCTTGGGGGTTCCGGAAAAAGTTCGATATTATGAGAGAACTTTTTGCGAAACTCCAGTTTAATGTGAATAATTTGATCTGCACGGTGTTTTTTCAAACACATAATAACATGAATAATCGACTTGGTTTTTGTACATTCTTTTTAACGAAAATCGTACAGTTTTCTCTAGTTTTATTTGTCTTTTATTTTACTTATTCATTATAACCACGTGCGATTCACGAGACACGTTAACAATTGTAGCACAGGTTTTTTCTTTAACATGACTGTGACTTGCTCGATTCGATGTCGTTTTTGTGATTTTTATTGCCTGTACCCCAAAACAAAAAATGCACGAGTAATCAGTGTTGTACATGTATGTACGTGTGTGTGTAATACGTTAATTACCAATTAATTTGTTAAAGGCTCACGTAACACGATTTATTGTTTTACTCGATTATTCAAGATTTTTTTTTGTTACATGGTCAGCTTGATTAACAAAACTACTTATTTTAAGTTGAGTGGCCCAGCATGATTGATTTTTCTATTATTAATAAACAAATGTGCGTTTTATTGAATTATATTATGTACGCATACATTATTGTAAAAAAAAAAAAAAAAAAAAAAAAAAAAATTGCACTTGAGGGGTCCGAAACGAGGCGTGAAACCCTTGTAACGTGTGTGTATGTGCAACAACCCCTGCTTGAGACGTTGTTTTTCGTATATACCGTCTTTTTCGTTGTTATGCACTGTGTCGCGTTGGCTCTCGACCTCTTCCGCTTGTACTTTCTCCCCTTTCTTCCTTACAATAAATAAGTGTACATTGTATACACTCACGTATAGACGAAAGAAAGGGAAGAAGGTGCGCTAGCTTGCCTGCAAACCGATCATCGATTTATCTACACGATAATTACACCCAGTGTGTTTTTTTTTCTTTTCTCTCTCTCTTTCCCCCGAAAAAAAACCAATTTGACTCGAGCAGTAATCCAATCTTCCATCCAAGAAAGAAAGAGAGTCTGGACGACGATATTATAGAGAAAGAAAAGAAACGTAGAGAGTCACGAGCGTGAACATACCTACTTGCATACATAAAGATGGCCCTTGAAGGAGACTGTATGTGCTGATGATGCTGATGATGATGACGACGACGATGGCACCCTCACGCGCGTCAATCAGTCGTTTTTTTTTTATAACCCGTCGGCCGAAAAAATTATTGTGGAAAGGAAGAAAGGAGAACACGTATACACAGCCTTAGAGAAGCAACGGCGGCAACTGCAGTTTATTAATATTATTATTATTATTATTATTATTATTGTCGTAAAATATAGTTGATTACCGCGATTAATACGATTATGTTATAGTAATTGATTATCATGATTATTAATATTCTTATCATTACATCATATTATTGAAAAGAACAACACCGAGACAGGGTCGGGCTTTTTTTTATCGCGTTGAAAATAATATGTATTGCCGAAGATTCATTGAAAGTTATTTGCTTTAACGTCATTTTCATACGATACACGTATTTCAAAGATAGTCATTTATATGTATTAATAAGGTAATAATTGATCGTTATGACGATCCTATAGCCGGTATCAGTGCAATATTGTTTTAATTAATTTCACAATTGCTCTCGTTACGAATCATTTATAAAATATTACATTTTGTTTTTAATTTGTAAGTGACAACTATATTTTCGTCTAGTCGATAGTGATATATTTATGTTTTTTTTTTTTTTTTTTTTTTTTTTTTTTTTTTTTTTTTTTTTTTTTTTTTTT